ACATCAAGAGGGCAGTCACCCGTCGGCTTCAGGTAATTGCTGCCTTTATCTGAACTATATTCTCCCTGTAACAGCAGATGTCTCTCGCAGCATTGCACGTCAACTCCTCTCATACATGAATCTGCCCTCCCCTCTCCTCTACCTTTACGACGACCCCCTACTCACACAACATGCCAATTCCGCAATCTGTCCGTAAACCTCGCGCTGTGCTGTCCGCCGTGGTAGCTAGACTACAGCCCCCTTGCCTGGCATTGTGCAAGAGCTTCCCCATATACAACTCTCAGAATCGTAGCTCTTCACCTCGGACACTGTTCCCGACTTAGATCTCATCGACTGCCCACAATTTGAGCTCTCTAATGGCCATGGCCATTGTGATGGGGGCGGCTGCGGTGACAGACAGCCGTTCTCTCATGGTACACGGGTCAAGGTTTTTAACGAAGGTACTCTCGATGCTGCCATCATGATGACCGAGTCCTTGGCAGATCGTGGCATCGGGAGTGTCGCTGTGCTCAACATGGCTTCGGATAGGCAGCCTGGTGGCAGTTGGCCTACCGATACCATGGCTCAGGAGGAAGCCCTTGAAGGTCGCCCGCATTGTGCTCCTCCTCCGCTGCTTGCCTGGAAACTTACCTCTACCTAGTGCTATCGCAGCTCATCATCTCTCGGCCTACATCGGCACCACTACCGTTGGAGTCGCCTTACAGTCGTCTACGCTCTAGACGTCTGTGTCGTCCGCTCATCTCTGGGTTCGGGTCACAGACTCCTCTCACCTGACACGCCTGCGTCTGAACTCCCTGCCGTGAGTGTCATTAGCATGGCCGCTATCCGCAGGCTCGCTGTCCGTCGAGCCAACGCGCCACGGCCAAGGACATACGACGTTTCCAAGTACACATCTGATCAGAACTTGACCAAGAGCACGATGCGCCTCGTCCTTCGTATAGCTGCCAACCAGGGCCATGATCCACTTGTCCTAGGGGCGCTGGGTTGTGGTGCCCTTGCTAATCCGCCTGAGGATATCGTCCAGTGCTGGCTTCAGGTACCGGATGAACTAAAGCTCAGCGGTGGTTGATGGCAGGAGATCGTAGGTGATTGAAACTTCCTTCGTGAACTCATGCTATCCATCAGAAAAGTACCCGGCGCGCTAATCAATTCGGCCACAGTGGTTCGCCATCCTAGATAAGCGGAACGAAGGACATTTTGAGGTTTTCGATCGCATCCTCGGAGGACGAGAGACTGGGAAAATTGTCATCAGATGACTGTTCCTTGGCGAGCTTAGGCTTCCGGGCATAGCTGACACATATCACTCGGTTTCCGCATGTCGGTTTCCGATGCAACCCCGATTTGGCTTCATATTTCGCTCGGCCTTGCGCAAATGTGGCTCCCGTTTCGATCTCAGAGCATCGCATGCCTCCGCTGGCAAGCTCAGTGGCGACGGCTGGCATCAATTTTGGTACGGCTAGCCTTATAATACGTAGAACCCGTCTCTTCTGTGCATTCACTGTGAAACTTGGATGTCGCCGTCAGCAACAAAAGATGTTGAACTGGAATCCGGGTTTTGCAGGGGTCGCTGACTCACTCGGCATAAACGATGGGCTCCGAAAATGCTACGCTAGCTCCCCTGTCGACCCCCATTGATTATTCATTATCGTAGGGCAATTATTTGGCCTAGATCCACGCGAGCTCTGAATTTGCCGTTCGAGTGTAGGGACAATAACTAAGGAAAGGTATCGAATAACTCCATCGTCTTTCTAAGCCGCCTTCGAAATATTCAATTGACAAATAGCCTATAGAGCGTCTATGGCTTCCTGAATGAGCAAATAAATCTAGTCGAATCTGCTTGATCCTGATATTCCTAAAGCTCGACTCAGATAGTGTGATTTCCTGCGCCTGGATTCGAACTCTCACAATTGGTATTGCGCCTGGTCCGTCATTCCGGTGTTCTTTCTACAGCGCGAGCCAGTCAGCCAAGGTAGAACGGGATGGACTCTCCGTCTATCGATGCCGCTGCACGGCTCGAAGGTGACAAGAAGATCAATCCAGATAATCAACCGGACACGGACGGTAGCCCGCAGTACGAACCTATTGAGTCGCGTGGCCACCGGCGGTCATCTTACCAGTCGTCGCTTTGCTCACAGAATGGACACGGCTGTGCCGATCTCGAAGATGGAATCGGCACGGATGAGACAGCCGCCCCCGATCAACCCAATTCCGAGAAGGACCCATTTGAAGTCTCGTGGGACGGCGATGACGATCCCATGTGCCCTCGTAGTAGTAAGTTGGTCGATGAACGCTGCATTCACGGACCCCCTCCCCTGTTGGCAACCCGTGGCTCACTACTCTCGCCATAGTGAGTATATTTCGAAAATGGCTGATTGTAGTCATCGTGGGCATGGGAAGTCTTTGTGTGTAAGCATTCGTCTACCCGAAGTAGTACATAAATTTAGACTCATTCCCACCTCAACCAGTACATGCACGAGCTCTATCTATACCTCTACCTACACTCAGATGAACGCCGAGTTTCATACTTCCAATCTCGTCGCTACTCTTGGACTTTCGACCTTCGTTTTGGGTAGTGAGTCTCATGTGTCTAACCTATCGAGCGAAGAACACATTGCTAATCTTATACGGTAGTCTCCCTTGGGCCGTTGCTGATGGGTCCACTGAGCGAGTTTTACGGCAGACGACCAATTTACCTCGTATCTTGGGGCATGTTCGTCGTTTGGCTGATACCTAGTGCTGTGGCTCACAACATCGCTACCATGCTCGTGGTGCGTATAGCCAACTAGTAACTGGATCGCTCCCTATTCCAGGTAGCACTTCATCATCGCAGATATTAACGGTTGTTCGTTGGTGATTAGGTGCGATTCCTTGACGGCTTTGCTGGAAGTGCTTTTCTGAGTGTAGCCGGTGGTACTGTCAACGACGTGTTCAGGCGCGATCAGATTCAAGCTCCGATGACCATCATCGCATTGAGTCCATTTGTGGGCAGGTGCTCTGCTGCCCCGAAGCTTCAGATTTTTTGCTGACACCCTGCTCCAGGACCAAGTTTGGGACCTTTACTGGGTGGTTTCAGTAAGTATTGCTTATTAACGAACTTCATCTGCTTCGGGCAGCGCAAGTCCTCTCTGTTGTGAGGAGTAATTACTGGATTCGACAGTTGAGCTAATATACTGCAGTCAACTATAATGTCACTTGGAGGTGGACCTACTATGTAAGTCTTATTGGTCGGGACATGGGGGTTTGACTGCTGGACGACCACGCATAGTCTGCTGGACTATGTGCCCTGACAGGTGGATCGGGCGAACGCTGACATGGTGGTATCCTCGCAGGTGATGATCATATGGGCGTTCTGTCTGTTGATGATGATTGTGTTTTTTGCACCCGAAACTTATCGTTCGTCCAGCTATCCCTCTCGCAATATCTATTCGCTCACCGAATTCGCAGACCCCATCAGACTCCGGGAGAAAGCCAGGGCTATGAGAAAGAAGACTGGCGACGATCGCTGGAAAGCGCCTATGGAGAATTCGACGAAATCTATCGCGACGACGATTGGCTATTCGCTCTTGCGACCCTTTCAGCTCCTGTCTCTCGAAACCATGTGTCTGTTACTCTCCATCTTATCGGCTATCCTGCTTGGTGTTATTTACCTATTCTTCGGTGCTTTCTCGCTGATTTTCGGCGAGAACTACGGCTTCAATGTTTGGCAGACCGGCTTGAGCTTTCTCGGCATACTAGTTGGCATGGTCACCTACCCCGCCACTGATGCGGTGTGGCGCCGCGTCTACCGTCGGCTCGTCGAGAGGAATGGCGGTGTACCCGAGCCGGAGTTCCGGCTAGCTCCAGCCATTGTCGGTGCCGTCTTGGTCCCCATAGGCCTCTTCTGGTTCGCCTGGACCACGTTCCCCTGGGTGCACTGGATATTGCCAATTATCGGCTCTGCAATATTTGGCTGTGGCACGTTGATGGTATTCACGGGGATTTTCACGTTCCTCGGTGAGTACCGTTTTATCTTTCCCTTGGTGGTTCTTTTGCAAATTTCTAACGACTATTGCAACAGTGGACGCCTATCCGTTATACGCAGCATCTGCGTTAGCCGCCAACAGCTTTACACGATGCTTATTTGCAGGTGAGTGCGATCCTACAACTATGCTTGCGCGGTTCGTGCCGGGCCATAGCGACCATCGGCTAACAGAAATTCAACAGCCGCATTTCCGCTATTTGGAATCCAGATGTACGAAAGGCTGGGATTCCAATGGGCGTCCAGCGTGCTGGCGTTTTTGACAGTTGCGATGATGCCATTCCCCTATATATTTTTCCGCTATGGCAAACAACTTCGCCAGCGCAGTAGGTTCTCGGCGAAATAAGGGACTTTCGATCGATTGAAAATATGACAAGTTCCCAAGTAATGCACGATATTCATTATGCGGTGTACATAATTTATTTGCGATAGTATATATATTAGCATCTATAGACCACCACGCTATATAATGGATGCTTCAACTGGTATTCCCTACGCATATATATCATGAGGACTCTCTCAATGGCCTCTCACATGGGACTTAGGCACAGGAGGCCTCCCATAAATGAGAAATCTCACCTGAAGTTCCTCTCCTGTACCTGACTAATCGTACAGGGAGGGTACGTACATACTGCATGTTGAGTGACGCCTTGCCTTAGGTATCAAGCGAATGCAACCAGCGCGATTGATGGTATCAGTGATAACTGTTGGGTACTTAAGGTAGGTACCTCCTCACTTTGAGCTCCCGACAGTGCCAGCAAGACCGACGTGCAAGCAGACACCGAAATCAGCTGTCGAATATTCCATTATATCTGCGAGGTAGAGGCTCGTCCAGTCTCGCTATTGCGTGCGAGTTTGAACCCTTTTGGAGACATGCTCTATGATGGCCCAATGGATTGGAGCGTTATGGGGAAAGTGTGGATGGACTGGCGGAGCGGGGATGACTAGCTTTATAGGTACTCATAAGACTGCCAAACGTTACGGTCTGTTAGCTCAGTTGGTTAGAGCGTCGTACTAATATTTCTTCTCCGGAAATATCATGTAATGCGAAGGTCATGAGTTCGACCCTCATACGGACCAATCGACCGTGGTTTCTTTTGCATTATATAATTATTTCATTTTTCCCCCCTCCTTCTTTTTCCTTTGCCGCCTGAGCAGGTCCAAGGAGCTATACAGATTTTCGGACCGTGATAAAGGCCCTTGCTGAAAAAGCTCCTTTTACCTATTTTGTTCACTTTTAAGTAGCTTTCAAGGCTTTTTATACTCGTGCGCAGATGTACTCGATAGGTATGTTCATGCAGCGGCAGGCCTTTAGGACCTTTTTTTTTTTCTACCGCAACGAGACGGTGCATACAAGTAAATCACACCAGCAAAGTTCCAAATGCGAAGGCAGTCTCACCGGGATATTTCATCGCGTTGTTTGGCAATGTTTTGTACTAATTACATTGTTGGCACATCTGAAGTCTGACGGGCTAGGGCAACACGCCTACCATGCGCAGATCGGGCTTGGTTCCTGGAACATGATGACTGCGAAATGACGAAAATGACGAGTTTCATCGCACCACAGCCCCCGTTCATCAGAAGATGCGCACAGGATTACTGATATGTCACTGGTATTCCACCCGGAAGGGCAGAGATCCCTGTAAGCCGGGTCAATCACGAGTCTGGCAAAGCATTGGTAAACGCAAGGAGCGGTTGTTCACTCACATCCCTCTATGCCCACATCCTCCGGTATAGCAGACTGTTGTTTGCAGGCCATGGCATCATCGTATGACTGGGATTTTAGAGCGCTGCACTTTTCGTTTACGCAGTCCGAGCCAGCCAGAGCGTCCATACCGCGTTGGAGGGCATCGCCTTTCCAGCCGAACAGGTAATCTGCGTGCTGACCATGGCCCGTACTATGTATATAGATCAATAGCTGTCATAAGCTTCACTGAGACCACATTCCAAGGCCAATGATGCCTATACTGTCATGTGCTTTGGGTGGGAATAATAACAGAACGAATGAGGACTGACCCATCACCGTAACTATAGACGAAGGGTTGAGAGCCGGCCGAGAAGTACGTGGGATCATTGAACTGGCTGGTATTCCAGTATATTTCATACATGACGCCAGGCACACGCACTGGGTGAGAGGCAGGGCACGCGGCGCCAGCAAGGCAATTCCTGGCGCAAATATTTGGACTGTACGCCATATGGGATTTGTGGTCGGGGGAGTCGAGGTTCTTGCCGTCCCAGCAGGTCGGGAAGATAATGCTAGATCGGATCCCGTCAGGGCACGGCTTCGAGGGTAGTGCCGACGTGTCGGTCCGATCACATGGCTGAAAGCCGTTGCTCGCGCCGAGACATCTGTGGCAGATCCCGGGATCCTTGCCGACGGTGGTACGTAAACTCGGGTCGCCTGCTAGCATGCGGAACCCCTACGCATTGCAAATTAGGTTGAGTCTCATCGCAAGATCACGGGCTGACTCACTGGCTTAAAGGCCGTGACCTTCTGATTCCCCGAGAAGGGCTGCATGTAATAGATAGTAAGGCCTCCGCTCTGTTCGCAGCATGTCGGATTCGGCATCTGTGGTACCCGCTTGTATGTGCCATTCTCCGGTGACCGGAAATATAGATTGGCTGTCCAATAGTTGGAGAAGTCTTCGCTATACGAGCATGTGGTGCAAGTCGATGTCAAACCTGGGTTGAGGCTTGCAGGGTCCATCTTTGCGAAATTCCAAATATCAGTCTTCCATCACCAGACTGAATCTTCCATCGAAAAGGATGACAAGGCGAAACATCATAGAGACACCTAAATTCACCTACCGTCGCATTGAATGAATTGCCACCGACAACCTGGTGAGTGTGAGGAGACGGCGACATTCCTGGAGAGACAAGGGGGTCGATACGCTCAATGACCAGTTGAGAACATACGAATCGGAGCAGCCGTCCCTGTGCAGAAGCACGCTGCGCGAATACCACAGCAGTGGTGATGATGAGACTGAGTAGAAACATGACACCGTATGAAGCTGAGTAGTAAATCGCGATTTACTGACCACTCGCCGGTGCGGTAATGATGTCTCCCAGCCGCCTGTGTAAAATGCTGCAGGGACGTGTCTTATACGACAACATCGTCGGCCCATATCCACAAACTGCCGCAACAGCTGGGAACATGTCCTTTCTTAACACCCGGGATAATAACAGCATAAGCGAATAGCAGCACGGCTTATTTAGTTGTGGCGAGTCACAAAGCCTGTGCAAAATACGGGTTGACGCATAGGCTAAAATCCAAACCCAAGCTGCTAGCTGTGACGTAGGTAGCCAACAAACCAAACATCAATGCCCGAATTGGTCTTGAAAGAGAGCTCAGTTAAAAAGGGTTGCCGGCGACCCGTTCCAACTTGAAAACGTTGAAAATCAGAGCTTCCGGCATCAGATTTCATTTCCAGGGGCTTGACCCTCTCGAACCCCTAGCGCTGCGCTAACTACGCTGGATTCTTGCAGAAAGCTTTTGGCTTTAAATTTCGTGCAGCCCGGAGTGCAAAGTTGCTTAATTGCCTAAAATATAAATATTTCTAAATATATTTGTTATTTTATCAATGTTTTATAAGGTTTAAAACTATACGCTAATATAAGTTTATTTACTTAAACAGCTTTTGTTGTACGAATACCGCTATATTCGAAGTTTACCCTGTACAATAGGGTGAATACACCGTACAGCCCTTAGAATAGGATGGATTACCCTGTAACTACAGGGTAAGCCAGGTGGAATTCCATGGAACCACATGGAATTACTTAGAATACTCTGGAACCGTTGCTTATAAATCAACTGGTTATAACTCAGTATTATTACTTAAGTTATACTTGATTTATAAGCAGGATTAGTAATATGGAAACATATGGAATTAAGTGGAATTACGGGAAATTGTATATATAAAGGAGGATTTCTTCTCTTTTTTCCTTTTAGAAAATCAAGCAGAAAATAACCAAGTTATAACCCCATATAACTTCATACGCTTCACTTTATGATTTAAACGAGCACTTATACACTTTAGTTGCATAACCCCTTATATCCTCTTAACACACTATAAAACTGCTATCGCAAAGCTTTTTTAGCAAGCTTACTAAAAAACCCGCTAGCACTTTAAAGACTACAAAAACTACTCACAGTTCCCTAAAAACTAAAACGGCTAAAGAAAGCGTGCGGAACTAGCTAGTGCCCGGTATTATTACGCTAAGTTAACGGACCGCTTACGTAGCCGGCAAAAAACCTAGCTATATAACCTTTTTAGCACTCGTAAAAGCATAAAAGCTATTGCTACTTAACATTAAAAACTAGTAGATAGCTATAAGAAAACCCCCTCGGTAGCATAAAACAATTATCCGCAAAAGCTAACGTAGCTGTTCGAGCGATTTATTTACACGAAAAAATCTAAAAATCTAAAACACTACCGGAAACCCTTTAAAGCGCTAGCAGACCCCTTTTTACACGGTCCTAAAACGAAAGCACGGTTAGCTAATAAGGCTTTTAACACATTATTTAGCTTAGTTTTTTTTGTAGCTACTTGTACGAATATAGCTAATTTAGCTAGAGATTTATAACTATTAAAGCTAAGCAATAATAAGGTATGCCGGAATAAAAAAAGCAATTTAAAAAGGTGTTAGCATTATTGATTCATAACTTATTAACAGTCGAATTGCCCGCAACTAAATAGCTATAAGTTATAGCTATCGTTATTGTTACTTTAAACGGCTAGCTTAATGTTGTTACGTTATTATAGTTAGACATGCTAGTTCGACCGGCATCTTTAGCAATAAAAATAAGGACTTTTTATTTGCTTTTTGCAAGCTAAAAAATAATTAACTTTTATTACATTTATAACTTTACGAACGTAACATCTAATGCCTAATACTAGACTTAAACTAATACGCTAAAATCTAACTACAGTAACAATTTTTACCGGACCCCGGTTATATACAAGTTTTAGCCCATAAAGTATCAGTAGCTAGCTTTCGCTAAATAACTAGTGAATTATAGACATATTTGTGCTAACGAAAACGTTATAATTTGCAAAGCAAATAAAACTTAGCGCTATTTTAAAGCTATCACTTAATTTAACTTGCTGAAGGGGAATTTTAATTTTTTTAAGCAACGAAAACTTTTATTAATTAAGCTTTATCCAGAAAATTAAAAAAATAACAAATTAACCTTTAACAAAGCTTAAATTTTCCTTTAAAACGCTATGTATTGCGAAAAAGCAAGTGAAAGGATAAATTTTCGCATCGAAAGGAAAGTACTAAATACTTTAATAAAAACAAAAAGACCTTTTCCGCGGTATTAAACTCCTAATACGCTAATACTGCACCCGAAATAAGCTTAATAGCTAGTAACGGGGCTTTTTACGCTAATAGCAAAAAAAGGAACGAAAGTGTTTTATCGTTTAGCGGTTAAAGCACGCTATAAAGTTTTCGTAACTTATAAAACGTTAATATAAGCGAAATTACTTAGCGCTTTACTAGCATAAGCACGATACTAAAATTTACTACGAAATTGCTAAACAAATTAGTTAATTAAACAAATAAAAAGGAAAATTTAAAGCAATTATTACTAAAACTGCTTAGAGACTAAAGCTAGAAGTTAGTTAAAATCCTTAATTTTGCGGTATTTAATCCGTACCGGAGAAATAAGCATAAAAACCTACTAATAGTTAGTAATACTAACAAGGTTTTTATTTACGGAAATACTTGTTCATAGCAAAAACATATGAATACTTAGAATAACACAGCTGCCCAAAAAAAAGCTATACGTACTAAAAGGTTCGCTTTACTTTGCGGATTAGGATTTTTCTAGTACACGACTTTACTATTATAAAATAAACGGACACGCATAAGTGCATTAGCTTACGCTTCTATCGATATAATAGTTAAAAAGTTCGGCATAAAGCTTATTAAAACCAATGTTTAGTTGAATAGCCCGGCTAATAAATATACCGAAAAAAACCGCCAGTAAAAGTAAATTTATCCGTAAATTTATTAAATAAGGACTTTTATATGCGAAAGCTTAGGGGCTATTACTAAAGAACAAAAGATAAAGAAAG